GATGGGGCCATCTTACACATGTTAACCACATAGACTGGATTGGGCAATTTTTCCATTTACACTACAAAGTACTGGTGATATTTTCAGCAAGCACCCCATTTCTACATAACAGCAGGACTATATACATTCACTTTCTTTGCTTAGAGCAGTACTACAAGTATTAGCAGGTCTTATTTTGAGAGAAACAGACTTGAAATCTCATATTTTTTCCACTCTCTTGCTGGTGGCTTATGGCCCACTGTCAATGTAGCAATCATATCTATCCAGTATTTCTTTTAAAGGATAACTGCAGCTGAATGACTGTTCACAAGCTGGGAGAACAGAGATCCTGGATCCATAACAAGTGGGTGTGTGGGATTTTACTTAGAAGGACACTGAGCAGTTATTAAATTCCAGATGTAGATGTCCATCCTGACACCGGAAGAGCCAGCTTATTGCAGTTTAGTTCTGTTAGCAGTCAAGAAAGGGTTAATGATCACTTGTCATTCTCAGTTTCAGGATTGATCTGCTTTGCCAGGTTTAACCCCTAACAGACCAAAAGTGAGCTTCTCCTATAATTACACTGGAACTGATTTTGTTACTCATCTTTCCCTCGGAATTTGGTATTTACGATCCTCCTGGGACAAACTCTTCATAGTGTGCAGGTCTTTCCAATTAATTAGAGTTAGTGCTACAGGGTAGCAGGGGCTGGGGATTAAGTGTGCAGTGTAATCAAGCAGCATCAATCAATATCCATCTACTTCTAAAGTCTCATCACCTACCTGATGACTTGCAAACAGATTATTAAAAAGAGAGGGTGCAAGTGTTGGAAAGGCAAACTAGAAATCACAGAGAACAGTATAGGGACCTTTAACAGCAAAAGCTGAATCTGGGCACCTTCCCCCTGTACAAAGAGGGCATGTTACAAAACCGGTGTGGATTGCAAACATGGATTCAATGGCCATAGACACATAGTGGTTGATTTACTAAAACTGGAGAATGCAAAATCTGGTGCAACTGTGCATGGTAGCCAATCGGCTTCTAGCTTTAGCTTGTTCAAATGAGCTTTGACAATAAAAAACCTGGAAGCTGGTTGGTTTCTAAGATTTTGCACTCTCCAGTTTTAGTAAAAATCCCATTTAAAATTTTTCCTTGTGATTGACCTTTCCATACTCTTAAATTGGTTGAATGTCTAAAAATGGTGGTTTAATGTAGGTTCAATAAGAATCTCAAAACCTGATACATGTTTGGCCAGCGTAAAGCCCTAGCTAATAGGATGGCTGATGTGGGAGTGATCCCCAGGCAGGGAGTCAATAGGTAATTCATTGATAAAAATCAATAACTTTGCACATCCAAATGATGAATGTTAAAATAGGATTGAGTCTGACAGCTAGAGCTAGAAGTACAGAGACTATTAATAAGATCTGGATGTCCTGTAGATGGGTAGCAAAACAACATATTCAGTGAATAGAGATCGTTTTTTCCAAACTTAAAGGCAACAAATGCTCGTCATAACTATGCCAAATGCACAATACACATTCATCAGCTAATGGTTGCTGAACCAATCATTTTTCAAGAAATAGACCCAATGAATTAAAAATACCAATTAAAGGTTGCAAAGTAATGACCTGCTGCATCAGGAAACTATATCTTTCCTCTTCGTCAAATGATGAAGAGTCTAAAAATTAATGTGAGTGGACTGGCATCTGACCTTCTGCTCCCTGGTAACCTTTTGAAGCCAAACAGCACTCAAGGCATTCATTCCAATTGGCCCTGCAGTCAGAGAACCTTCGTACATACAAGTCCAGGAGTTCCTATACCACCAGTACTTCAACAGCCTTAAGCTTTTGAGGGAATAAATAAATCCCATAGGGCCTGCCAGGGTTTCCCAGTTAAAATACAGCTAGCCATAGGTGTGAGATGTGCTCAGAAGGTGCAATGACCAAATTCTTATTAGGGATGACCATTTTGGCTGACAGTGCTTGTTTATCCAGCAAGTAGATGCCCTTGGCACTGGGCTTGGAGATGATGGTTATTGTTCGAAAAAAAAAAAAAAATAGCTTATGAAAGCTCCCACTCGAAGATCAGACTGGCAGGGGGTCTGTAGCCATGCATTCTTATCTGTTTATTTTAAGCTTGATCTCTAGATAGCATAACTATATCCCTGTGTGTGTGTTACCCCCATGAACATGTGAGGCTGCTCTACTTCTTTGCAGGGGGTCTATGAATTTAAATACCATTCCCTTGCATTGCAGCAATATCTGTTCACTGCATACTTATAGGATTCTGGTTGAAACATGAAAACCATGTCTGTTTAATCCTCGAAAGTGACTTCTGCTATGGAAGGCTTAGTTGTCAGCCTGTCCTACAAATTTTCAAAAAAATTTTTTTCTTTTTTTGCATATAACCTCAGTTAAGCACATTAACTTAGGCCACATTGTGAACCTATCATTTCGTGAACTTGATCCATGGGGTGCAGAGGTTCCTGATCAATGACAATTGGGGAACAAAATTGGCGCACAAAGAAAATTGAGTCTGAACCATTTGGAAGGAAAGGAAAAATGTGGGGGCGGGGGGGGGGGAGAGAAAATGAGGGGGGAAGTTTGGGGAAGGAGTGGGAGAAAATAGAAATTCAGGGGGGAGGTACAAGGGAAAGAAGAAAAAAGGGTACACATAATATGTTATTAAATATCAAAATTAAGAAAATCCAACAGACTCATAAGGAGTAAGGTCTCTAAACACTTATATACGGTCAAATGACACTTGTGCCAGCTTGATCATAAGAGTAAGAAGTGACCTATGTGTTTAAGAGAAAACAAGGAAAGTGCCATTTAAGTGCAGCATTTTTGCAGATGTTCATTGGAACAGAAAATTGGCAACTCACATGTAAAAAAACTTTAAAAGTGCTCCTCAAGAGTTTGCAGAGCCACTACAAGCCCCCAGTCCTGCAGATCCTGCTGATGGAAGTCAATGCAGCTGCCCATTGCCAATGGAAGTCTTGGTAAACAGCCTCCATCATGCCAGAGTGGAAGGTGGCGTGGGATACAGTTACTGATCAATGGTACATATAACCAATAGTTAAATTTAACATATACAGTTGTGTTCAAAATAATAGCAGTGTGTTGAAAAAAGTGAATAAAGCTCAAAATCCTTCTAATAGCTTTTATTTCCATACACACAAATGCATTGAGAACACTACACATTCTACTCCAAATCAAAACATGAAGGAAAATATATCAAATGTGTGTTGTTTCTTTAAAAAAATGTAAGAAAAGTGAATATTAGACTGTTCAAAAAAAAATTGCAGTGTTTGTATTCTTCTTTACAAACTCAAACAATCACTATATAAACTGAAAGATGTTTGAAGATTTTTCTTTCCTTTGAATCACTTAATGAATATTTAGTTGTATAAGCACTGTTTCTGAGAACTGCTGTACATCTGTGTTGCATGGAGTCAACCAACTTCTGGCACCTGTGAACAGGTATTGCAGCCCAGGATGATTGGACTACATTCCACAGTTCTTCTCTATTTCTTGGTTTTGCCTCAGAAACTGCATTTTTTATGTCACCCCACAAGTTGTCTATCGGATTAAGATCCGGGGATTGGGCTGGCCACTCCATAACATCAATCTTGTTGGTCTGGAACTAAGATGTTGCACGTTTACTGGTGTGTTTGGGTCGTTGTCTTGTTGGAACACCCATTTCAAGGGCATTTCCTCTTCAGCATAAGGCAGCATGACCTCTTCAAGTATTCTGATGTATTCAAACTGATCCATGATCCCTGGTATGCGATAAATAGGCCCAACACCGTAGTATGAGAAACATCCCCATATCATGATGCTTGCGCAACCATGCTTCACTGTCTTCACAGTGTACTGTGGCTTGAATTCAGTGTTTGGGGGTCGTCTGACAAACTGTCTCCGGCCACTAGACCTAAAAAGAACAATCTTACTTTCATCAGTCCACAAAATGTTGCGCCATTTCTCTTTAGGCCAGTCAATGTGCTCTTTGGCAAATTGTAACCTCTTCAGAACGTCTTTTTTTCAACAATGGGACTTTGCGGGGGCTTCTTGCAGATAGCTTGGCTTCACATAGGCGTCTTCTAATTGTAACAGTACTCACAGGTAACTTTTAGACCTTCTTTTATCTTCCTGGAGCTGATTGTTGGCTGAGTCCTTGCCATTTTGGCTATTCTTCTATCCATTTGAATAGTAGTTTTTTCGCTTTCTTCCATGTCTTTCAGGTTTTGGTTGCCATTTTAAAGCATTTGCGATCATTTTAGCTGAGCAGCCTATCATTTTTCTGCACTTCTTTATATGTTTTCCCCTCTCCAATCAACTTTTTAATCAAGGTATGCTGTTCTTCTGAACAATGTCTGGAAAGACCCATTTTCCTCAGAATTTCAGAGAGAAATGCACTGTAACCAGCATGTACAACATTTGCTGCCTTCCTTCCTTAAATAAGGGCAATAATTGCCACCTGTTTTTCAAAGAATGAATGACCTCACTAATAGAAATCCACAATGCTATTATTTTGAACATGCCCCTTTCAATTAGTGATTCAATTACACAGAATCAGCAGCATGCATGTCATGACTGTTAGGTCTGTTGGATTTCTATTACTCTACTACACCTGCTAGTAAATTATTTGCCATGTAGAAATATCATTTCTACCAAAAACAGTGATTGATCAGGTTAGTGATGTCTGACTGCTATTATTTTGAACACAACTGTAGTTAAATTTTAACACGTAACTCTTCTGTATAGTCATTTATTTCCAAGCATAAAACTTTTATTTGGAAAATGCTTACAAATGCAGGTGACCATAGGTGTACATTAGACCTAAAAGTACTTCGAAAGATTTGCTGTTATTAATTGGTATATAATACATTGTTGAAAAATCTTAAGAGATAGAAGTGATTTTGCAAAAACTGCTGGAAAAACAAATTGCTTACAGTATTTTAAAGTGAATTTTATGTTTTCACGTTAACGAATAACCCACCTGTTTTTTTTCTCTTTCAGGTTATTTGGGAGCAGCGGAGCATGCAGCGCATGTGGACAGTCCATACCAGCCAGCGAAATGGTGATGAGGGCACAGGGCAGCGTATACCACCTGAAGGTAAGGCTATGATCAGTAGGGGTGGTGAACATTGCTTTTAGCAGCTAATCATGTTCTTACTCACATTTTTCCAGACTGGAAAAATGAAGGCAATAAATATTTTCTAGTCAACCAGAAGAATATACTGTATATGTCTGCATGGGGAAAGACAAGTTTACTCTAAAGTTCATTCCCAATTGTAATATTGTGAGCCCTTGCTATCATCAGTGCTGGTTCCCTAATCTAGACAAATAGGCCGGACTTTCTGACTGTAGCTTTCCAACTCCCAGATCATTGCCCAGTGATGTCCATAGTTGTATACCTATACATCATTAGTAATTATGTTTTATTTTCCCTCCTCAGTGTTTCACATGTGCCACATGCAGGAACAGACTTGTTCCAGGAGACCGATTTCACTACGTCAATGGCACCATCTTCTGCGAACATGACCGGCCTTCCGGTTTACTGAATGGACACTTAAACAGTCTTCAGAGCAACCCGCTTCAGAGTAGCCCCATGCTACCTGACCAGAAAGTGAGTTGACACTCTGTGATGGGATTAAAATCAATCATGTTACATTAACTTTCTTAAATGCTTCTATAGCCTCCCCTGCTATAGGTACCTTTTTTGATTTTTTTTTTTTTTTTTCATTAAAGGGCCAGTTCAGATAAAAGTGATATATTTTAGTTATAGGTGGAGCAGGGAGGGCTGAGTCATCCCCTGGTTTGTGATATGTCTTGGATACTCCAAACAAGGAGATTTCCCTGCCATAATTCCTGACTGTGTTTCTGTCCATTTGGATGTTTTGAGTGTTCCTGCCCAACCTAGTGTGATTCAACTCCTCCTGTTACATTCTACATATTATAAAGTAAGAACAATTCCAACAAGAAAGATAGAAACCTCTCATGATGGCTACAGCAGGTGTGCAGACCTGGAAACTCGGCACAGAGATTTCACCAATAACGTCCTTGAAAGACAGAAGAAACCATCTGGTAACTTAATTTCTCAGCATCCACTAAACTCTGAAATATCAGTGTTGGGTGAACTGACTTTTTTAAAAATTTGTTTAGTCCATTGTGTTCCCTGGTTCCTAGCCTCGCCATTGGGACTTCCCTCAGCACAGATTCTTTTAAAAGGCTGAAGCTCTGAGCAAAAGCACAGCCAAGACGTGTTGAATTTACCAGCAACCAGTGTTTCAAACTGGGAGTTATTTCCATTGTGATTATTAGGAAAGTGGGATTTTCCCAGAAAATGTGACAATTTAGGTGCAACAGATTATTTCAAACTGCGTTTAATGAAAAACTAATTGGACTTTCTGATGATAAAATAATTTTCTTGCATGACATTAAAGCAGTGTTTCTCAACTCCAGTCCTCATGGACCCCCAACAGGTCATGTTTTCAGGATTTCCCTCAGATGAAACAGCTGTGGTAATTATTAAGGCAGTGAAACTGATCGAATCACCTGTGCAAATTAATGGAAATCCTGAAAACATGACCTGTTGGGGGTCCATGAGGACTGGAGTTGAGAAACACTGCATTAAAGTGATACTAAGCATACAATTTTTAACTGCCATTATCCCTTCTATTTATGTATAAAGATCTTACCACTGTCTGTAATAAATATAAAAGAGAATCTGAGTACCTTATTTAATAATTGCTGTTCAGCAGTCACGTTTCCCATGGACAGATCTAAGGGAGGAGTTTCTTGTGCTGTGATGATGTATGCTGTACAGCAGCAGAGGACGTCCGGACTATGAATCTGTGTCTTCACATCACTGATTGGCATAAAAAAAAGGCTTTCAGAATAGAGAATCAAAATAAATAATAGCAACAAAGTGTTTTAAAAAAGCTTATTTTAAATCTATAATCCAAAGCAAATTTTTTTTTGCAATAACATGGTGTAGGGGAAGTTTAAATTGACAATATCTTTCACTTGATTCACACTGGAAAGATATCTGGAGGTTCTACCAATCACAGGATGTTTTCACGCCCCTCTAGCCTGTGTCTATTGGGTTATTGTCATATTGGCCTAATGGTGATTACAGGGGGTGGTCCTTCTTCAAGAAAACCTGCCACTTTGTCCTGAACAAGCAATGTGGTAGATTCTCTGCAAAAATGTTTATCATCTTGAGATAGCGTTGGTGCATCTGGGCAACCCAAATCATTGTTGCACTGTTCATGTGTAGTAACCCTCAACTTCTCTGACCCTGCACTAATACTCTTCTTTTCTAAGAAGAAGCCCCATCTGTACCATTCAACTGTTAACCTCCCTGGCGGTATGATCATTTCAGATTTTTGGTGCTGAAAGCGGTACCATTATTTTGCATGGAAATTTGGTGTTTTATATTGTAGGCATGTAATTCTTAGGAATAACTCACTGAAATCTGTCCGAACAAGAGTCTAGTAAACATCCCGGGTATGATAAAACTTGAAACACGAAATTATAAATTGTAATTTAATAAATAATCATAAAAAAATAATAATAAATTTAATTCAATAATATAATCAAACCAAAAACACTGAAATTTGAAATAGAGCGCCAAGTTCGCACATCACTGAGCAAAGTCGCAAAATTGTTTTCAGTGTCTGATGACGAATTTCCCCACAATCATTATCACTCAATTCTGCAAGTGGTTCTGATTTACTATCGCTGTTCTCTAGCTGGTCTAAAACCGCTTTTGACCTAAAAGGGACGCTTTTTGGATGCCATGGACGTTTCTCAGTTTCCAGGCAATAAGAACAGTAAAAATGCAGGCAGGGCACAGGACAAAGCACTCGGGACAAAATGTATGTGAAATGGTTTGAAACCGTAATGTTTTACTATGTGATTTTAGTGAATGTCACTTTTTTGTCATTTTCAAATTTCCCGCTGTTCCGTCCCCCGTACGCCCCGACGCTTGCAGGGAATGGAACCCAGATGACAGATGCCGGCATCCGCCGGATTACATTGCCGGGGACACTGCAGGAGGGACGTCGCGGGAGCGCAGGACAAGGTAAGTGCAGAAGGGATCGCGGAGCAGCGCCGCATGGTATTCCCGAGTGTAGCTCGGGTTACCGCTTGTGGTATTGAAACTTTACCCCGAGCTACACTCGGGAATACCACCAGGAAGGTTAAGTACCAAAGGTGCTGGTGTTGGAGTCTTAAATGGCAGGGAAGAGCTTGTCTCCACCTGGGGACAGGGCTTAATTTGGAGTGTACAGTGCTCCTGAGCACACCAAAATTGCTTGGAGGACTGAAAAGCTCAAGCATATTATTAGTTTTGGATAGCGTATGGAAGGGGTAAAACCACTGTCTGTGTTACTGTTGGAGAGACATCACCTCACTTTCTGTCCCAGTTCTCAGACAGAAATAAAGTCTGGCAGAAGTGCCACCACGTCCCTGCTCTACTTTAAAAAAAAATTTTTTCCCTGTTTGTGCCTTTGGAGAGATTTTGGGTATCTCTGTGATCTCTGTGATCACAAAAAATGAGAAAGTATCTTCCCATTGGCTACTTACTGACAGAGGAGAGTTGGAGCTGCAGGATCACGTGACAAGCCTGGAGTGATTTAAAAATAGGTAAGTACATACAGGTTAGGTAGGAGGAGGGAACATTTTTAAGAATAGCTAGACTTGGGCTTTTCTTCAGCTCTAACTATTGACCAAAAATTGCTTCCCAATGTGTGGCATATCGACTGAACGAGTAGATTAATTCCTATTGATAGACATTGCAAAAGAAATCAATTGTTTATCAGAGCATGCATGGTCACCATAATATAAACACACAGACGTGTGTGTGTATGTGTTTGTGTGTATAATACATACACAACCCCAATTCCAAAAGAGTTGAGACGCTGGGTAAAATCTACATAAAAACAGATTGCAATGATTTGCACATCTCATAAACCCATATTTTATTCACAATAGAAAACATATCAAACAATTAAACTGAGAAAATGTACCATTTTAACAAAAAAAATAAGGTAATTTTGAAATTGATGGCAGCAACACATCTTAAAAAGTTTAGACAGCTGGCAAAATAAGTGGTACTGACAAGGAAGAACTGAAAGAACCTTTTGCAACAAATTAGGTTAATTAGCAACAGGTCAGTAACATGATTGGGTATAAAAAGAACATCTTAGAGAGTCATAGTGCAAGGGACAAGGGACTGACACGCAACATTGAATGCCTGTGATTTTTGGGCCCTCAGACAGCACTACATTGAAAACAGGCATGATTCTGTGATGAACATCTCTTCATGGGTTCAGGAATACTTCGAAAAATCAGTGTCTGTGAATACAGTTCACCGTACCATTCAAAAATGCAAGGTAAAGCTCTATCTTGCAAAGAAGAAGCCATATCAGAACATGATCCAGAAACGCCACCATCTTCTCTGGGCCACAGCTCATTTAAAATTGTCTGTTGCAAAGTGGAAAAACTGTTCTGTGGTTAGACAACTCAAAATATGACATTCTTTTTGGCAATCATGGCAGCCGCATCTTCCAGACTTAAGAGCAGACGGACCTTCTGGCTTGTTATCAGTGCTCAGTTCAAAAGCCTGCATCTCTGTTGGTATAGGGATGCATAAGTGCGTATGGAATGGACAGCTTGCACATCTGGAAAAGGCACAAACAATGTTGAAAGATATACCCAGGTTTTAGAGTAGCATATGCTCCCATCCAGGGGCGGACTGACCATTTGGAAACTCGGGCATTGCCCGAGGGCCCAGGGTCAGTAGGGGGTCCCATGAGATGCCCCTGGTACCTTTTTCATAGGCTTTTTTGAGTTTGGGCAAGGACACAGGCCCCATGATCTCCTATTGCCCGGGGGCCCCATGAGTTGTCAGTCAGCCCCCTGCTCCCATCTAAACAATTACTTTTTAAGGGAAGGCCTTGCAAGGACAATGCTAAAATGCATACTGCATCTATGACAACAGCATAACGTTGTAGTAGAAGAGTTTGGGTGCTTAAATGGCCTGCCTGCAGTCCAGACCTTTCACCAACTGAAAATATTAGGTGCATCTTGAAACAAAGAAGACCCAGAACCCAGGCATTCAATACAGTGCTTCTCTACTGTAAGTTAGATATCTGTATCAGGCAAGAATTGGACAATGTTACTCTCCCAAAACTTCAACAACTGGTCTTCTCAGTTCCCAGACTTTTACAGAGTGTTGTTAAATAGAGATGGGATGCTACGTGGTAAACATGGTCTTGCCCAAACTTTTTGAGAAGTGTTGCTGCCATCAATTTCAAAATTACCTTATTTTTTGCTTAAAATTGTAAACATTTTTTATATTTTTCATTTTCTATTGTGAATAAAATATGGATTTCAGATTTGCAAGTCATTGCATTCTTTATGTAGATTTTGTCCCAACTTTTTGGAATTGCGGTTGTATTTTTAGAATAATAAGGAAAAAAGTAATTAGAAACTGTGTTAGATTTCTGTTGTCTGCTTCCCTGGTGCAGGATCCTTGGGTGGCAGTAAAACCTGAGAAGAGTTCTAACCTTTCCCAATTGTCTGTAAAATTTAAGAAAACATTGGTTTTGGGTATAGATTCATTTTGAA